CTTTTCTGCTGCGGTGACTTCAGCAAAAGTCAGATATCCGGAGACAATGTTAGGAAAGATTTTCTTTGTTGTCATGGACTTTGCACTTTGGGTTTGCGCCCTTTTTCTCTCAACGTATTCCAATGACTGGTTTGAAAAAGGATTTGTCATTGCAAATTTCTCTATACTTTTGTCCAAAATTTCAAAATTGTTCTTAGTTTTAACGAACATCTCACTACATTGACGCGAGTTTATTGTATGTTTAGGAAATTTCCAAAGGTCAACACCATCTTGTTCTCCAAAACTTTCTCCGTCTTTTCTCAGTCGGTTATTGATATTTTCTCCAATGAATTCCTTTAGATCTATGATTTCAAGTCTTAAAGCAAAGTTTTCGTTTTTTGGTTCTCTTTTTTCTTTTTCTTGTAAGTTAATTTTTGCTAGCATATCACATAATTTATCAGGCCTACCTTGCATATCGTCCCTGTTATCATTTTTTTCGACTCCGTTGTCAAGTCTTTCAAGGATTACCGCAAGTTGGTTTTTTATGTTTTGAAAGCGCTCTTTGATTCCTAGATTTGTTTCCATCTCTTCTCTTGAGTCTTGAAAATATTTGCTGTTGTTTCCATTGGAAAATATCTCCCTTTCATGGTCTTTTTGTTTCAAAGTATATTCTGGCTCCTGTTATAGTCATACCAAATGTTGCTTGAAAAGTTGTGACTGTAAACCGAATGTGACACTGTAAACGGGGCCATTAGGGTCTAAATTTTATTGAATAGTTTTGCATATTTGGGTCTCAATTGGATCTGGCTCAGTAGTGTGATTTTTAAGAAAAGTGACTATAAGCGGAGCCGACTCTACACTTTTCTTAATATCTATTTTATTTTTCGGGGATGATATATTCTTTCTTATTCTTTCTTTTTCTTATCATCATGGTTTAGGAAATACCTTCAATTGCGCATATGAACAGCTATAAGTTTGTTGATTGTGCATCTCCTATTTTGCTATGTCACTTACGTGCGAAGACTACAAACTCCTGTAGACGTTCAAGCTTGTGTTGCCAGGTGAAAATTATGTCATCCATCGATAAATATTTTCCAAAATATTGGACTACGTCCCATCGGGGCATTATTCAGGAGATGTTGTGTTATTGTTGTCATGAATTTGTTGGCAAAGGGTCTCCCCACTGCGGTGCCTTTAGAGAGGTCAATAAAATTTATCATTCCATTACACTGTTTTTCATAAAAACCAGTAAATTGAAGTTCAGGTTGGTCCATCTTAATTTTTTTAAAAAATCTGAGGCTAGAATAATTTGTTCTTAAATTATTAGGGTGAGAGCAGTATAATTGCTAGCTATTGCGCTTTAGAGAAGTTTTCAAACCTCATTTGCCAACAAAATGAGTAAGACATCCTATATTGGCTGGCAGCGTTTGAAAGTTCACAGAAAATGGTCCCTAGATGGCAAAACACTTCTCCTTTTTTAGATAAAACAGTGTTCAAAGTTACATTTTACAGTAGATCATGCTAAAATGTTCTTAATTTTTTATCACTTTTGACCAATATAAGGGCTTGTGTTCTTATAAAAGAGTGAGTGTAGAGGTTATAAAATTATGTTTGAAAAATATATCACCATTTTATATGCCGCTGAGTTGTTTCCCCATAATGATTTTTAATGGCATTGAGGGATGCTTTGATATCCTCATCTTGAGAAATGTTTGTGTATTGTGATTTTACATCTACTGTAAGGAAATAAGTCGGATGCTAGTGAGCATATAGAAATGGTCACTAAAAACTCTCTTGCTCATCTCCCAAAGGTTAGTCAAAAACATCGGTGAACGTGTGGACACAATAAGCAAGGGCATTAGTGACTTGCCTTGAGAATTATTTTGGTGTCACGGGAACTGAAGGCAAATTCCCAACATTTTCAATTTTTGACAGAGCAATTTTTTTCTGAAGGCAAATAACCTGTCATTTGAAAATTTTGATCTAAAATTTTCCCATTCGATCTGCTTTTTGAAACATCAAAACAACCAAATCCCAACCAAGGCAATCGATAGGGGGCAGTGATGAGATAAGAATATCAAATAAGAAGATAAATTGTAATTCCAGGTGAAAAGAATGAAATTTTGCATTCACATGCACCTTGTTTTTCTAGCACGAAAGCTGCAAGAAGGTCATGATACACAGTTAGGGGTAGCTGAAGCTCATTCTTCAGTTGAAGATGAATTTACTCCATATAGCGACATTTTTTGGGAAGATGACCTGGAAACCGAGAGACTAGATTATATATCGACAATGAAATTGCAAATGTCTTTTTAAATGCCCTATAACATTCGGAGTCAAACTTTTACAGCTGCTGACAACATCCAGCTAGAATTTGGAAAATTGGAATGTTTCTATCCAAAAGAAACTTCATACCACTTTGTGGTGGTTCATTAGGACCCCCCAATTTTCCCACAAGGATGCAGTACGGCCACGGTAATGGGTATATTTTCTGCAACAAGCGCACACTATACCCAGTAAACATCAACGTTAAAAAGTGCAACAACGCAAAATGTGCTGCAATAAATGCACTATTTCCATTCAAGATGGATAAGCTTAAAATTTTGAACTATTCGCATTTTTAATCACCAAAAACGAAAGGAATTAAAAACATTAGACATTGATCAAAGTAATTCTATTAGTATCAGTATATAACAGTACCATCTACCTAAATGGACATTTGACAGAGAAAAGAGAACATATTGTGTTCTGCCTAGATCAATAATGGACCCTGAAAATCTGGACAAGATTGAAACAATTTCTAAATATTTTTCCTGAATCAGCAGTATATTTTTAAAGCATGTCATATTTTTTCGTCAGAGCCTCAGTACATAGCTTGTGAGTAGCTGTGAAAAGTTTCCTCATGCCAGTTTGAATCACAACTCAGTTATAAGCCAACACATAATACAATGAATATCAAGCAAGTTTAAAAACGCTTTAAAAAGGGCTGCTGCTTGGTCTATAATCTTTGGGAGGTACAGTACAGAATCTTAAAACAAGGAAACTTCATGATTGAACAATCCGAGCCAGAAAAAGTTATAGTTTTGTTAGCAAGCGCATTTCAGTATAGTCCTTTTGCAAATCTATGGAAAACGAAATACTGAAATTTGACAATTGCAATGATAATTGCAATTGCAATGATAATTCAGCGCTTTGTATCAGGCTAATTTTCCTTAGGAAATACAATCTACCCCTACCTAGCGCTTTTTAATCCGTTAATAGAAGAAATATGTAAACCATATTTTGAAAAAGTGGGAGGGGGAGGGGGGGTTTCCCACACCAAACCCCCCTTGGCGCCGCCATTTGTTGTCCTACTTTGGAAAACACCTCAAAAGCGATATTTTCGACCCTCATTTTCTGCAATTGTTTGTAGCTTGTCTTTTTTATTTCAACAGGTTTTTTCAACGTCAGTAATAAATTGCTGCTCTCACTTGAAATCTTCGTGGAATGAAGAAAATACTATAAATAAGGTTTTCCTTTGACAAATATTATTCAAGCAAAGCTGCGATCATTGTCGCACAAAATAAAAAAGGCAAGAAATGAAACATTTTCCTTGCTGCTTTCTGATTGCCAGTGAACTTTCTTTTTATCGGCCTATTATTATGGATGATAACCATCTTTCATTGCAAAAACGACAATTCCATCTTTTCTATGATCTTTTCTATCATTACTGTAAAGACGGCACTAGGCTTTTATTGTCATAAAGAGATATTTTTTATGTTATTATCGTTATTCTATTTGAACACAATTTCTCTACAGCTTTTTTCATTAATATTATAAACAAACAAGAAGAAAACACTCAAGAAAAAAATCCCTTTGTAACAAAATAGCTCCCATCAAGGCTATTTCAAAAACAGCCCTCAACTATCACTAAGATTTTAGAAATATCATTCTGTTTAAATCATACAATTTTGGGTAGTTTATAATAACAATGTTCATGCTTTTCAATCAGCTTCCAGCTGCAAATGAGACTACATATCTCGAAGATATTTTATACAATATGTTTTATGGATTCGAGGCAGTCACAAAGCGAGACCTGAACTTCGTTATTTGTAGAATTTGCGGTTTAGCTGGCGAGTACTACCTTAGAGATGGAAATGAAAAAAACTGTTGCTCGTTGGATATTTCTATTTCTATATATATTTAAAACTGAAATATTTGAAAAATTAGAGTCAAATAAGACAGAAGCTAGAAAACCTTTCTTCTTGGATTCTTCCTATAACCTGATGGCCAGCTGTGATCTATTTGTGGCGCAAGAAGATTGGGACATCTCCAGGAAAAAAGCTTTTTGTCAAATTTAGACTGACATTTGAAACCAGGCTTTTAAACTGTGCTTTGAAAGCAGCCTGGCTTAGTATTATTTAGGGCATTCTTGCAGGGAGTTGCAGTTTCAGCCATTACGTCCCCAATCAAGCAAAACCAACAAGAAAGACCTTCAACGGGCTGCAAAATAAAACCTCAAGATTTATTTCACATCAATTTCAGTGGAAATCTATCAACACAAATGCTCCCTAGCAACCATTTCTGGTATACTATATTCATAAAAATCTAGGTATTGCATTTGCTATGATCGCCATTTTGCTTTTCTACTTTTAACTGACCGTGCCTAGGGCCACATATAAATATCGATTCCAAGTTTATATTTTTATTTATATCTAGTTGGGAATAGGTTTCACTCCACGACTAACCCTCTTAAGTCACCACTCTGTCCATACCACAACATCAACAATGCAGGCAAATGCCCTTAAAACAAATTATAAGGAATCCGATAACAACAAAAAACCAAAAAAGGCTCAGATCAGCCTGTACGCAGTAGCATGCGTGCAGCATCTACTGTTAACTCAGAACTAGCTGTGTGTAAGGAGTTGGCCAAAGCGAAGTATGCCAAAAAGATATGGCTACAATTTCAAGGAAGGAACTTTGCACAATCTGTAGCATAAAGCTGACACTGAAACATGACTGGAATTTGATCTGCCTTTCGAAGTGGAGAACTCGACAAGGGATGCACGATATGTTTTTCACGTCTGTCGGGACCTTCTGCTCAGAAGAAAAAACTTCAAGGATAAGATTTTGGATGTGGAAACAAAATTACGCTCCAAGCTTTCTGCCTCACCAGATATTGACATGACGGTGCCTCCAACAATGAGTTTTGCCCCTGCCCTTTCCAGTACACCAACAGGACACTGCCCACCCCCACCAAATAAGAGATTAGCATTGGGCAGTGATTTTCTTGCCCGAAATATTATCAAGTCATGCTCTGATGAAGGTCAAGGAGGCCCTCAAAGGAAAATGTCAAAATCGGTCAAAGCAATAAATTTTGGAGGAAGTGGCCAGACACAAGTTACTGTCAGAGTGAATTGGACAAGCAAAGTGAAAAAGAGAAAGCTGCCCCATGACTTGGCATCATTAGGAAAAATGCTGTCTCATGGAACGTACAAACAGATGGCCAATGCTGCTTTGAGGCATGACAGAATTCGCGGAGCCTTGACTGGATTCATGCTTAAGGAAATCACTAAGAATGCAGGGCTCTATGTTGAAAAGGGTCTGAGGGAAACAACAAAAAAGCAACTAAAAAAATTTTCAGATGTACAAGCAAGAAGGATGTTGTCAGTTTCCAGTTTGAGAAAATGAAGGAATTAATGGTAAACGAGGCACCACTTTTTTGGCACATTTTGCAAGCTGCTGCTCTAAGGCATAAGAAGAACCCATCAGAAAGCTCCCACCTGACTTCATGTGTTTGTATGGCAGTCTCTGTTTGCCTCAAAAACAGATCACCAAAAATGACAATATTGCAGTTGCTCATAAGCATAATTATGCAACACTCTGGAAATATGGTAATTGTTGTGTTTAGAAAACTGAAAGACTTTAAACTTCTAGACCTTTAAAGTTTTATATTTAGAATGATTCTTCAGCCCATCTCATTTTAGTGGTATGCCCTGGGTGCAGCACCAAAACAGTGATGAAAAATACATTTAAGATTATAGGGAAAACTGCCTAAAAATTCTCTAATGAAATGAAACACTGTAAAAGGCCTCTTAATTTCTCTTGAAACAACAGTAAAAGATGCTTTTTATGATACAGTAATAGCCTCTAGATTGGAAGCTTATGTGCTAGCAGTTTTCTTGTTTTTGCCTTGAAGAGCAGACTAAGAAGATTAAAGGCTTTGCGCCTAGTTGTTTCACACCATTTTCTTTACAAGAAACTGGATGAATTTGGCAAAAATCACGAGTCGTTCCTTAAGGATCAAGCATTCAAAACATCTTTGGACAGAAAAGTGGTGGTAGACAATTTTTTATTTGAAGGACTATTCCATGACATAATAACAAAGGACTATTCCATGACAGAGGGTCACCAGAATCATGATGAACATCGGGTGTCAGTGGCAGCAGTTGAAAACAGGATTCATGCTGATAGTCTGTCCACTGAGTGCCCAATGAAAACTGGGACTATCAACATGGAAAATCTAATGGCGCTTCCAAATATCACTAATCACAAAAAGCAACGTGAGAATTATATTGATTTGTGTGGCAAGATTGCTTGTGCCAGTATCAAATCTCTTGAAAAGTTTAAGGATGTTGCTGTTCATCATATAAAGCATGCATATTCTGCTCAGGCAAGAAGGGGAACAGACACTGTAAGTGATAAAATCCATTACATATATACTAAATAGGAATATGGCAAACAGTTGTTATAAGTTGAGCTCTACCATACAGATCTTGAAAAAATCAACATGATTTTTCTGAGAAAGACTTAATATAAAATATCAAGAATATTTCTAGTGAAATTCTTGTGATTCATTTTTGCAATCGGTCAAAACCAGTGTGTGAAGAATTCTTGTCATGTTTGCGTGCCAGGCATAAGCTGTGTGTCATACATACAGTAATGATTGTCAATGATTAAAAATACATTCTATTTAGTTAAAACAGTAAATGATTGACCTTGTTTGATATTAAATATGGCATCTAAAGAATGATGTCAGATGGACCATCTTCATCGAGCATATTTTCAAGGGCTTTCCATTTTGATGTCTTTGATGTATATCACCTTTCGTTATTGCAACATAAGTTTGTCAATCTTTAATTTGGCTTTGTCCCTTTTACTTTATAAGCTATCAAAGAAAGAAGTTCTCTGTCAACTTATTGTTGTTAGCCCCAATGCAGGTACTGTATCCATCATAACTTATTCTTTTTATGTTTTGAACACTGTCTGAAGTATCTCTTAAGATTTCTTTTCCCCTTCTAGAAATTTGTTGGAATGATTTATACAAACTCAAATGAATCAGCAGAGATGGAGGAAATAATGAAGGAAATTCACTCAAAGTATGTCCCTTGCAATAATGGGAAATGCAGTTCGCTTGCAATTGTTGGTGATCAAGGAACTGTTGAAAGAGGAGTGAATGTTTTGCTACAGTTGAGTAATGGCTTTGACGAAGTTGAATGGCTTGATGGCTTACACTTGAAAGTTGGAGATTTTCATGCAGGAATGAAGTTCTTGCAAGTATGTATTAACCAATGTAATTATGTCAGGAGACATTTTAGCAAATTACAGCAATTATTCACTCATTTCTACACTCTTCTATATGCCTGGAACCTGGTGCTCTTCTATATACTTAGGCAAGCTCAGTTGAAAGCAGTTGAACTTAAGGGAGAACTTTAAAAGAAAGGAACTTCCATCCTCAGTATCAATATCCCTTATTACTTCCCTTGTAGCCCTTAGTTCAAGTAGCCCTTCCAGTCGATCAATTTTGTTTTACTAACTAATAACTCACAGTGTTCTTTGTATGTTACAATTCGAATCATGTGCTCTCAGAATCATGTGATCAACAACCCTTTGTTTTAATTTTTCTAGAATATGAAACACAACCAGAGTGATACAGAAATAATACCTATAGTATTCTATGTATATATACCATATGGAGAGGGAGAAACAGAAACTTACAACTAGATTCTCCCGCACTTTACGAAATACTGCAGATTACATCACATTGCTAAACGTATGTTCACGTTTATTTTCAGTTTGGATATGACCAATTCTATAATGCAAAATCAGTGATGGACAAGTGCACAATTTTTAGTGATAGAACTCTTATAAACCGCCGAAATGTTGTCACTGATGTGTCAAAGCGCTTTGATGCAAATAAGAAGTTTTTTTTGCTTGAAGTCCATGCAAGGATTGTTGCTGCACTTTTAGTGATTCTTGGCATAAAGGATATAGAAGAGCAAATATCAGAGGGGATCTTACCAAAATATATTTGTAGCAAATCCAAAAAAGAGAGAATATTTCCATGGATTATGCAGCAGGGTTGTAGATGAATATGTATTGAATGCCGATAAAAATGGAGATCTCTTGAAAAAAGAAGCATACTCAGATTGGCTCAAATCAGTGAATCCCAAAACATAAGATGGCCGCTTTGCTTGTAGAGAAGTGGGTTGTAGCAAGGCTTTTACTTTTGACGGCAAGGCAAGATTGAATAATGAACATCACATTGCCTACATAAAGGAAGAGATGAAATTGAAAAAAAGAACAGTGATATCGATGCTATGTTTAACTACCAAAGATCACTTTTCGATTTTGGTGCTATCGTTCTAAACTTCTACGATGCCATTTCAGAGGGAGATGGTGCACGACTTGTAAGGTGCTGGAAATTTATGCTCCCATATTTGAAAGCTGATGGTCCGAAGAGTCGAAAGTATGCTCTTGAAGCACTTTACCTCATCATTCAAGTTGAGGCTTTTCTTTCCCAGAAGGATGCTCATAGATTGATCTGGAATAGATTCCACAAATCCATAGAGAGTCGTGGTAGCAATATACCCATGGATTTGATGATAGAGCACAACAAGAATTTCATGAAGAATGCAATAAGGTCCTTGGGACCAAACAGCACAAATAAAAAAGCAGTTGATCGGATTGCAAAAACTGTGACAGTAACAAAAAAATTAGTGGACAACTTGACCGTAGGTGTGATATCTATAAAGGGTCAGGTAAGCACACTGAAACATCAGCAAAGAAGGACTTGAAGAAAATTGCTCAAAAAATTATGACAAGTGGTAGAACATACAAGGTATTTGATGGAATGCAAGAATCTCTTCTAGAAGACTTTGATTTGCATGGTATGTATGCTTGGATAATGAATGCAGCACAAAAAAAGATCATGATGAAGAGGGCAAGAAGATGACTTTGAATGCATCACAAAGCATAATTGTGTAGCTTCAGAAATATAACTTTCTTAAAATACAACC